TATATATATATATATATATATATATATATATATATATATATAGTTATATATACAGTGTCCATTACCGTAGAAAGCTCACATCTTCAAGAATGTGTTTTTCCACAAAAGGGGCATACCCGTACACACCAAAAAAAAAGTAAAGAAGACCATTATTTTCCTTTATTTTATTACTTTTACTATATATTCCGTCACTTTCTCCCTTTCTTCTATTCTTCCTTTTCTTCTTTTTTAACTAATATTTCATCCTTTCTTTTATTCTTCCTTTTCTTCTTCTTTTTTAACTAATATTTCATAACATATTATCAGCATAAAACTTTATATTTTTGGTATGATAAGCACATACTTTATATATCTCTAGTTGCATTTTTGTTCTTTATTTATTAATATTATTTTAGTTAAATTAACCTATTGATTTGTATTTGGTATATCTAACTCTATTATTATTTAGTGAGTTATATTAATTTGAGTATGTATATCATTTTCTTTCAACTTTTCTTATATATGAATAATGTATAAATTATAACTTTATCATAATTTTTTCTTGAACATCTTGCAATATATGCTTCTAAAAATTTCATTTATGTATGTTATTATTATATCTAATTTTTATGTACCTTGCAATAGAAATTTTCTTTGTGTATTTCTATATTGCTGAATTTATTTATGTATTTCAAAAATCGTTATTTTATTTGTATATTTCTATATTTACCTTAAATTCATATCTCTCTTTCTGATTTTTTTATAAGTAATTATTTTATTACGCAGCAATTAATTATTTCTTACTCATCTGCCTTCTTCTAGTGTTCATCAAGTTAAACTTATCAAGTTTTTGAGTTTGTAGCACTTGATATTATTGAAAAAATTATTTGTCATGTGTTGTTGATGCTAAAATTCACCATGACGCTGAAATTTGTGGTGATATATTAAACAAGAAAATGAAGTTTCACATCAGTATAAAGCGAAGACCATGATTTTTTGCCTACATCATCTCCATGAGGAATTAAAAATTGAATATTTAACCCTCTTTAAATATGCATTAATTTGAAGGATCGATATGAAAACCTAAAACTTACGGTGTTAATAAAAGCTAGAGATGAGTGGCTAACCCTTTGAATTCAAGATTTTATAACTCTATATGAGTAAAATTCTGCTCATCATAAAGTAAGTTCCACATTAATATTATATGGAGATACCATCACTAATAATGACTTATTTGAGAAAACTTTTCTACTTCCACAATTCAAATTTGTTATCAAAACAATAATACAAAGAAAAAAGTTTTAAAAATATTTTGAATTAATTACATGTACTTATGGCTTAGCAGAATACTGCTTTATTGATAAAAAATCATGAAGCTCATCCTACTTTTCCTACTCCATTCGATGAAGCAAATGTTGTAGCAACACATAATCAGTGTCAATAAAGAAAAAATAATTATCCTAATCTTGGACGTGAATGAGGACGGGGTATGGGACGAAATGATTATTGTCATTATGATAGAATCTATATTCGTCACTGATATTGATATAAAAGATCACTAGGTATGTGAATGTCGTACGCCTTATAATTTTTGAAACTTTATCACGCCCCTCTTTGAAGAAAAGATAATAATATGGCGGCACACTTGTCTTTTCAGAATGATGAGGATGAAGAAACTTCCTCAAATAAATATGATAATATTGAGATAAATCTTACATATAAAGATGATGACATAGAAACCTCCAAAATATTACTTATTTCAAAGATGGATATATTTATGAGTATTGATTGAAGAACTGGTCATCTAAGTGAGGATAAATTTATAAGAATAATTGTTGTTTATTTAATTATGTTCTCAACTATTTTGTTCTTCCTAAATGCTTTTGTTACGGTATTATGTTTTACTAATTTCTACATTTTTGTTTATATTGATGAAGTTGTTGTTTTTAACATTTTTATATTGCATTTTTAATTTTTATGAAGAATATCAAATTTTCCCAATCATTAGCCAGATTCAGAATCAAGCATGATGATATATATGTGTTATAGATTGGGCAGAAGCACACACTATTCTAGGAGATATTAGAACACTTAATAACTAAGACGCTTCAAAGTAAAGGGCAAGCAATATTAGAATAATTAGTAACTAAGGAACCTTAAAATATATGGCAAAAAATATATATCTTTTAATTTTTTTTTAAATGGCAAGAAATTAATAACTAAAGAGCATAAAATATATGGTAAGTGTTATTTTGTCTTACTAATTTCTACATTTTAGTACAATTTCATAAAATTGTTGATTTTTCACGTTCTTATATTGTATTTTTTTACTTTTATGAATAATATGGAAAATCCTAGTCAAGAAATATTAGAACAATTAATAACTAAGAAACCTTATAATATATGGAAAAAATTTATATTTTTAATTTTTTTTTAAAAAAAAGGACAGAAATATTAGATCTATTAATAACAAAACAACATAAATATATGGTAAGTAGTAATAGGAGAAATAAGAAATTAAGGAGTGCCAAAATGTATGGCAAGAGAAATACAAAAATTACAGGGTAAGAATATTAGAAAACTTAATAATTAAGTTGTCCTAAAATACATGGTAAAAAATATTTAAGAAAATTAATTATGAGGTCGTTCTTAAAAAGATGATACGAAGTATTGAGAAAATTAATAACTAAATAGCCCTAATAATTATGGTATGAAGTTTTAAGAGTATTTAACAATTAAAGAGTCCTAAAATAGATGATAAGAAGTATTAGGAAAATTAATAGATAGGAAATTTAGTAGTGTTGAAATATTGAGATAAGTTTCAAAAACACACCTAAACTATACATTTTCTTTAGTTTCATAACTAAATTATTGAGTGTCACGACCCAAAATGTCGTGAGTGGCGTCCAAACTAAACCCTTCAGTGGGATAAAGCAATTTAACTAAGGAAGAAGGGTAAATAACTAAATTAATGAAGTTCTCGGAAAACTCCAACAATATTCTAAAGAACTAACTTATAATGAGGAAAAAATAACCTAGAACCTGAAAGTCAATGTAACAAAACATATAAGTAACGAGACAATGTCTAAATAAGAAATGTCATAATCCTAACTAATGAAGTCTTACTAAGAATAAGTGTAAGTCTAGAATGTGGACAAAGACTCAAAAAGAATACAAAGCAGCTCGGATGATGGTAGGTCACCCTTGGATTTGAACACGAGTCACAAATATTCTATGCGAGGTCTGTCAATAGCCGCCAGAAGATGTCCCGTATTCAACAAAAATAGGAGAAAGTACATAATCAGTACACAACCACTATATACTTGTAGGATCAAAAGGCTATTCCACTAGTGTAACATAAGCAAGTCATCACAACATTATGACCATGCAATATATCGAATATAACAATACTGATATTGGTTAACACATGCTTAAAATTATAAATTTTACCACAAGTAGTTGATCCTCTTATGGAACCCAAATTCAAATTGTTAGTGCACCGAAACGTGATACCAATCCAAGTTAGCTTGCTGGATTGTGGCAATCCGATCTCATTTTTATGTCAATAAACAATCAATATAATATGGTAGTCAATAATCACCCGGATTACAAACACTACTAACAAACCCTAGATCATCCCCTGATTTTATTAGGGTTGTTTCCATCATGAATTTTGAGATCAAACCCTTTCCCATCAGCATTAACCTATCCTGTTGTGTTTTAAGTATCGAAAAACGAATTGTACAAATGGAAAGCTTACCTTTAGCATTATTGTCATGCCCCGAGCCTATACGGTGGAGTAGTTGGCACCTAATGACCATTGTTGACCTTGAGCAGAATCTTGAACTGACTTGTTTAACTCAGCATAAGACTTTACTCAACATAAATGGAAAAACATGTTCATTAAAATTACATAAAATAATTATCTTGGCAAAAATGACACTTAAGTCTCATAACAAAACATCTTAAATGTAAATAAATAAAGATTCAAATGTAAACTTTCTTACTGACTATCTGAATATGAATCCTTTAGAATACTAGATGAATGTTAGGACAAACCCCACGATATTATATAAATGAAAAGACTAGAAAGAAACTAAAAGAGTCCTCCTGAATGCAAGGAGACTCACCACTGACTCTGAGTGCTCAAGCTAGATCAACGAGGCACTGTATGTTGATCCTGGTTACGCGTCTCTGCATCATAAGACGATTCATACCAACTGAAGTCACTACATTTAATGCACAAGTACGCGAGTTGGAATGCTGAACAACATAGGCTAGAATGAGTCTGAAAGAAACTGAAGAACTTACGTGGCTCAACTCAATTCAACATGACTGACTGATTTCAATATAAATCAATTTAACAAAAGTGCAATATAAAGAAAAGTTTGTCAAAAAAATGTTGTAAGTTTTGAATATATATATATATATATATATATATAGTGATATCAATAACTGTTAGATGTATGTAAAATACAATTAAGCAGATGTATGTAAGTATATTTAACTTCTGTAGAAGTTTCTATCACCGATAA